GCCTTCAACTCCCCTTTCTTCCTGTTACACATTGATTTTAAATTTAGATCAGAGAGTTTCCTGTAAAATTAAGCAACATCTCACTGTTGATACTTCTCTTTATTATCCCAACCCTTTGATCCCTAAGAGTGACCACCATTTAACTTCTCCTTACAATATCATCACTGAATCATACAATTAAGTAAGTAATCACCAATTAAAGAAGCTATTGATTGTTAAACAAATTCTCCTTGTCAGTGCCTTAGCAAATGTGTAGAGAACAGTATGAAGAGTATGGATACTGTTGGTCAGGTGTAAAATGTTAACTGTTCTTCTTGACAATTTATTAATGTGGGATGGAGAAACATAGTCATGTAGCTCATCAGCCTGTCTTAGGAATGAAAGGGTTGAATGATTTGATACTTTTTCACTCAATCACATTTCCTATCTTTGGAAAAATTTAGTTTCAATAAGGATGAAGGCAATCTCAGACTGGAAATTCTACTTTTATTAAAATTAAACTTTTTAGGTTGCAGAGTACAGTGAGATCTCTGAAGAACTGCAGCACAAAAGAAACCCTGATGGAAAACTTACCTTTCGTGAAGGAAACATTTGCAACCATTTCTTTACCATAGACTTTTTGGAAAAAATTGTCAAGTAAGTGATTTACTTTCAATTGAGACATGTACTGTATGGTGTTTTAAACTTATTGAAAAAAAGGCTTTACAAACTGAGCATTGATTAGTAATTCTTGGGTCAGGAGTAATTTTTAAGGAAAATGTATCTTACCCCTGGCATTTATCTCTCTCTATATTAATTTGATTTATTTTTGTAAATTTAGAGAGCTTGAGCCATCGCTAAAATACCACATTGCCAAGAAGAAAATTCCTTATGTTGATGACAGTGGGAATCGGTATGTACATGCATGTTGCTGACCATGATAATTATAAACTTGAACTAGTAATTGGTAAGTACACTCTTGGTTACTTTAAGGATCATATAAAGTTCTCTGCATTCTCTTTATCAAAACCTTCAAATGTTTTGCAAGTGTGTTGGCAAAGGATGTTAAGTCTTCAAAACAGACTCAAGTCTGGACAGCATCCTCACATAGAGAATTTTGTTTTTTTTTTGCCCATATAAAATAATAAAGGCCACAAAACAGTGAAAGCAAGAGGCAGAACTGTGGATCTGCCACTTAAAATTGCTATACATAAAACCGTGTCCTGTATAAGCCACACTCTGGAATTAACGGACAAGTCACAAAGTTTTACTTTTGATAAATAACTTAGTTTTTCTTTTTTTTTCCTTGCTGCTTGCAGACTTCTAGTCCAGGGAATTTTTTCATTTCAAATTTGCTCCTGTGTTTTCAGTATTGATCAGTACTAGACTAATAATTATGTAACTCGTTAATGTGTTCTTTAATTTTCATTTCAGGATTGTGCCTGATGCACCTAATGGAATAAAACTGGAGAAGTTTGTTTTTGATGTCTTTGAATTTACTGAGTAAGCTGACTTTGCTAATATCAAGGTTTCTACATGTAGTTACCTTCTGTGAGGACAATTTTCACCCTTCAATTATTAACTATTAATGAAATATTCAAATGATACAAGTTGTTACATCTGATAGTTCTCCACAGTGGAAACTTAAGTTTAATATGTCTGTTCAGAACTAAAAGGGACAGAGGAAAGCTTTCTCTAATAAGATTCTAGTTGACTTAACACTTTGCTTGCTGCACATCTTCACTGACTTTATAGATTCATTGTAAAATGAACTGTGGGCGGGCTTATCAAGAAAAGCAGTGGACAGTCTTGGAAGGGTCTTTATGTGTAACATTGGTTACATGTATTTTTGGTAAATCAGTGACATTATGAGTCTCACAGGACTTTTGTTTGAATTTAACTCAAAATACATGTACATGATTGTGCAGTCAAATATGACCCCTTTTCTCCTTGTGTCAGGACTAGAAGTCTAAGTATTAGGAAAGGTTTTTTTTAATTTCTCCTGTTTGTAAACTATTGCATCAGAGTTTTCCAATGAAGTCAGCCAATCAGTCTATTTTGGTTTTCTTATGTACAGTTGCATCTGCCAATAAACTAGGAGCACCCAGAAAATGTCCAATAACAATAATTGTCTCATTTTTTGTTTGGTCAATATTTATGCTAAATTTAAATTAAGTACTATTTTTATCTGGGTGAAGAATTTCAAAGTTAGATAATTTGACCATTAAATTTCTCTTGCAGAAATTTTGCAGTCTTAGAGGTTGCCAGGGAAGATGAATTCTCTCCTCTGAAAAATCGGCAAGGTTCAGCCACAGACAGCCCAGAAACAGCTTGCAGAGACTTGCTGAATTTACATCATAACTACATAATCAAAGCAGGGGGGACATTTGTTGACAGCACCAAGTTAGTAGAACTACAGTACTCATTTCTTATCTAAATCAGGACTGTGGCTGGCTATTGATAAAGTCCTTGGCCCAAATGAAAAGCAGAGTTTTAAGGAACTTGAATTGATAGTTGTATCAATGAATTGTGAAGCATTACAGTCCTGTGAAGGCTTGGTTGCTACTATCAATTTTTCTTTTTGTGTAACCTGGTGTAAAGTCTTAACCTGTTTAGTGATGAGGTAAACACTTGCTGCAAAGGAGAGTAGTATGTTTTCCCTTTATGTTATTCATTGTATGATTTTTTTAGTGTAATAATCCCTTTTTTTTTCATTTCAGGGACAGCCCTTCGTTATGTGAAATATCTCCCCTTCTCTCTTATGCTGGAGAGGTAACTAATACATTCTAATAACAACTTACAGTCATAGGACAGAAGAAATCCTCTACATTTCTGGAAATAATATTCCTTCATGTTGCAGTTCAAATTGATTTTCTTTTTCTAAGAGGATAGGTTTTTCAAGGACAAAAACCTTCCCAATGCCTTCTAAATACATATTGCTAACAAAAGTTACAGAAAGACAGTATCACTTAATATGAAAATTTTGATGCTCACAATAATTGACATTAATTCACCAAAGTAGAGGTGAATAGTGATGGATATTTATCAAGGGGTAAAGTAGCAAGGTTGATATCCACCATTTTCACCAGCACTGGGGTGAATTATTTTCTCAGTATGTACCACACAAAAAATTGAGTATTACTGTAAACACCATTTATACTTCAATATGTAGTAAAATTAAACAACCACTGATTGTAAAGGCTAATTGGAAAGTAGTAAATTTTCAAATATGAAAGCCATCCTTGCAGCTATAAACACTACCTTTAGTAGTAGTGAAAAGAAGGCTTGAAAAAAATTTAGGTCCATTTGGGATTTGAACCCATGACCTCTGTAATAGTGGTGCAGTGCTCTATCACAGAGGTCATGGCTTCAAATCCCATATGGGCCTGAATTTTTTCTAGGCCTTATTTTCACTACTACTTAAGTAGTGTTCATAACTGTGAGGATCACTTCCATATTAGTTTCTGCAACTGTAGTTCACATATGATTTTCATATATTTACAGTCATTTAGTAAATTTTCCTTTCTAAGCAATATGAGTATGATAAATTTTTTGCATTGTCTGTAGTGTTTGACACTAATGCTTGCCCCATTTCTTGGCCTGGTGGACTAATATTTTGCAGAACAATCTAATTTGCAATGAAAAAGTGACTAGTAAAATGATGTAGTGGCCATAAACATGATAAAGATACAACCAACCTTACATTTCATTGCTGTCTTACTTTTTTGTCATTTAACATATGTATATATATTATATATATATATATGATATATGATATATGTATATGTAGGTACAAACCTCAAAACATATCCAAAGCCATAGAAGATACTATGTTCATAGATGCCATGTTTCTGCGTGTGAAAGGAATACTCCTACAATGGAACCTAGTTTCCACATGGCCAAATAGGCCTAAATATTTGCAAACCATTTACTAAGTTACTACTTAATAAGTGATTAGTGAACACCAAATCATCAGATAACAGTTTGTCATTGCTTTTACTTTATCATCATTGGTGGACAAAACTTCATGTCAACTGTATTACATTATAAAATTGATATTGTTTTATTTAACAAGCCTCCTTTTAGTTTTAATGGGCAACTAATCTTTAGTCAGTGGGCAACCAAAATAAACAATGGGCATAAAAAAACAAACCGTTTGCCCAAAAGGCAAATTTAGCCAGAAAGTTAGGGTTGAACACTGGTCTTAGTTTCAGACTACATAATATCAGCATAAACCAGTCTTGGTGTACTAGGTGTAACTGTTGATGACAAAAAGACAGTCTCATTTTGTTGATGACAAAAAGACAGTCTCATTTTGTTCTCTTTTTTTTTTTTTAGGGATTGGAAGATGTAGTTAAAGGCAAGGAGTTCTCAGCAACAAAGACTATTCATCTGAAACCAGAGAATAAAGAAGTAAAAGATGGAGAGCTACCACGAAAGAAAGTCAAGGAGGGTTGAAAAAATTATTAATGCTGGTCATAGGAATATTTTAATTGTCAAAAATTTGTGTGGAATTCTAATTATATTTGAAAATGGTTATCAGTAAGAATTGACTGGTTAGGAAACCTTACAGATTTAATTGTTGTACACTGTGGGTTTCAACATAAGCGACAGTAACTTGTTTGTTGGTATCTCTAATTTTTCTCAGCTTTCCTAACCAGTGAACTCTAATAATATATAATACTACGGTTTTATTGTAGTTAGGAAAATGATGATATGTTATAATATAACATGCTGCACATTCAATTTTGGAGGAAGCAGTACTGTAATTCAAATCATTTTTATTATGATTATTGGTATTATTGTTTTCAGTATCACTCATTGTCAGTTTTGTTGTCATCATCATTTTCATTATCATTACTGGTATTACCAGTAGTTATTTTCATTATCATTACCATAACCATTGTTATTGTCATTATTATCATCAGGCATTGTCATCGTCATTTTTATTATCACTATTAGTTATGTTATTTTCATCATTATTGTTATATCTCAGATAGAAAATATGAAACACACCTTTTAAAAAGGGTTGGGGGAAAGGGTTGGAGGTGGGTGTTTTGGAATATTATATCACACCAGAAGTTGAGTGAAAATGCACTCACAATTTTGAAGCGCTAAGTCAACCAATCAAATTCAAGAGCGTAGCCTTGACTTTTAACTAACATATGGTGTTGTATGAAAAGTTTCTCACTTGATTGTAGGAAACGTTTGGGAATTCTATTCAAAAAAACGGAAATTTTTGATCATATATTCTTTAAGTTAAAAGAAATATTCACAAATATGGACTGCAAAAATTTGCCTAAACATACTTGACCTTAAGATGGATGAAAATCTAACTTTGGTGCCAGATTTTTACAAGCACCGTATTTCTCATATAACTTTTTTGTAAAGCGGATAGAACTGATCCAAAATTTGCAGTTCTGAAAATGAATTATAGTGTCTGTCAGATAAGTGTCATTGAAAGAGCGGTTTTATTGGAATGTCGAAAGTAAATTGGGATTGCATTGATTTTGTTCTAATTTGCCCTGTGATTGGTCTAGGAAACTCTTACCATTCTCTCAACCAATCAGACGCAACACTAAGACCAACCAGGACGTGTTATCGCGCCCAAGTTAGTTTCGTTGGTTTTCTTTTTCCTTGAGTTTTCATAGGCTCTTGAGGATCTTTTCCTTCCTTCTGATTGGCTGTTAAGATAACTTTGGTTTTGATTTTACGACACTCAATTGAAAAGAGTTCAATTATGATGGTATCAGGGCCAGAGGAACACAACAAGAACATTCTTTCGCATGCTAAACCTTCAGATAGAAGAAATTTAACTTTGGGACTTGTTTCAGTATTCTATGAATATGTTGCTAATCCATAAAATGCACATCGAAATGTTATTTTTTTAAAGTTAGATGGACTTTTGAAATCGACTTTTGATGTCATTAAATGAAATGATTAAAGCTTCAAACCAGGCTACGTGCATTTTTTACTCATGGGTCCCCAGGGGCGGTTTCCATCCGCCTAGTTCCCAGTCTATTGTCTACAAATGTATCACGCCACCTCTATCGACATCACGTAACCCGATTGATTGTTTAGCGGGTATCTAGCCGGTTTCATCAATAATTTTCTCGAACGGGCATCATCTCCGCTGAAATGGACATCGATAACTTAAGAAGTGAACTTAAAGAGAACAATCAAGACCATTTGCTCCTGCATTGGGATTCACTTAACGATGAGGAGAAATCTAATTTTTACAAAGATCTCAAGCACATCAATTTCGCCAAAATTAACCACTGGTTCGAGAAGACCATGCGCGAAGCCGAAGCAAGTGACAAGAAAGATGAGAAATTGGAGCCAGTTCCACCACAGATAGTTGGTAGTGTAATCGGAGCGAAAAATGGAAACAAAGTCGCCAGTTGGAGAGAGAAAGGTCTACAGTTGATAAGCGAAGGAAAAGTCGCTGTACTGCTTCTCGCCGGAGGGCAAGGAACGCGGCTGGGAGTCTCTTATCCTAAGGGAATGTACAATGTCGGGTTACCATCACGGAAGACATTGTATCAACTTCAGGCCCAGAGAATCTTAAAAGTGCAAGAACTGGCTTATGAACTCACTGGAAAGAAATCGACAGTTCCTTGGTAAGTCACAACTTTAATTCCTTTGTATGATTGCATAGTTCATTGTCTGTTAATCGTTTTCGCTAATTTTTGAAACTAATTTCCTGTCAGCCCAATGTTAGGTGAATACCACCCCTTCGCCATTAAAACGGGCAATTTATTTGCAACAATCAAATAACGTTCAAAGTTTCTAGAAATGCGATTGTGGGTACACAAATATCGAGATCAATATGAATGAAGTTGTTGGGTAATTCACAAAGCGCTCAAGGCGTCATAATTTTGTTGTTGTTATCAGTAAGTTGGTATTGTAAGGCATGTAATAATTTTGTGAGAGTCATGTGAGAACAACCTTCGAAAATAGGGAAACTGTGGTCCATCCTGTCGGCAGTTTTTGAAGTAGGGACTATTAATCATTAAGCACTGTGTTTGAGTATTGTAACCTGAGTACTAGAATGGAAGCCCTCAGTATTACTATGGGGGAAAGGGGTGGGGGATTTGGCAGGGGGGGCGTGCACTGACAAGGGAATGAAATCTTACGAGTTGTTATTATCAGAAATTCCAAACTTGCTTACTCAGCTAAAGTTTTGCCATAAACAGAAGCTGCTGATTGTGAGTTAAGTATTTCATTGGCAAATTATGATTAAATTTCTATGCAGATACTGATGGAAGTCTTTGGATGTGTACAACCATTTTGTTGATTATGAAGAATCCTGTTTGTTTATTATTTGCCTTTAAATTTAGTTGTAGTTAAACTGAAAAATTGAAATCAGAGGAATAGTTTGGACCATCCATTACCAGAATAAGAGAGGGTAACAAAGCAGAGGTCCTGATCCTGTTTCACACACATTTCAGAAAAATGAATGCATCACATTTATGAAAAGGAAAACTAAACATCTCTATTCTCTCTTCCTACAACATTTAGAGTGATCTTTAGGTTTCCACGAACTGAGAAAAAATTTATGCATCACACGTGCCTTTCTTTAATATTCATGTGTCACATATTAATTTTAAACTATATCCAAGTTACATTCAAACCCTTTGCCACCCTCTAAGGAGATGTTAAAGATTTTATTTTGAAAGAACTTTGAAATTTATTGACAGCTTATTGTCACACCACTATAGGTACATCATGACAAGTGAACACACCATGGAAGAAACGAAAAAGTTTTTTGAAAAACGCAATTACTTTGGGCTGCAAAGAAATGATGTGCTATTCTTTGAGCAGCACACCATTCCTTGTCTAACAATGGATGGAAAAATTATTCTTGATCAATGTGGTAAAGTTGCCAGAGCCCCTGGAGGAAATGGTGGTTTGTATGCTGCCCTTATTGATGATGGTGTAGATGACCATGTTACCATTGGTACAATGAGAAAGCGAGGAATAGAGTATCTTCATGTATACTGTGTTGACAACATCCTTGTTAAGATGGCAGATCCTGTTTTTGTTGGATTTTGTGTTGACAAGTCAGCAGAATGTGGTGCTAAGGTTGGTGCTCTTATTACCTTGGTAAAGAAATTATTCATGTACTTGCCAACTTGCTTTGGGCCAAAGGCTTGTAGGACTTGATTGTCACTGAAGAAATCCAAAGATTTCTAAACACTTTCCAAAAGATTGCAGAGATACCTCAAAAAGTTCAAATTAAAAAATTTAGAATTATTTTTAAGACACAAAGATTCCTTAAAGGGTCCATGGAACTAATAGAAGAGCATGTGGACATAAGCTTTGGAAGGAATGATATTTTTCACTTACATGTATACTGTTCAAATGTTTTTCACATACAACTTACATATGGTATTTTTCACTTTTATGGGTTATACAATTTTACTCCTACAATTTTCCTCTTGAGGGCTCCACCTATGATACACCCTTACAAGTGCCTGAGTACATGTAGATATTCATCTAGTTTCAATTACAGCCTCCCTGTTAAAGCAGACCATTTATAACTTTTAAATTATGCTCACCTATAGTCAGACTGTCAGTATTCCTGTTGAAAAGCTAACAGATATGTGAAATAACTTGATAAAGTTTTGGTAAACAAAATACATAATTAAAAAATGCATTTAAGTCCTCTTCTTTTCTTAATACATAATAAAAATAGGCAATGAATTGTCAAATGAATTATTAAATAATGGGTTTTTGTCTGAGTTGATTTCCTTGACAGATTGTTATTTATTTATTGCAGGTTGTCGAGAAAACACTTCCTGATGAGAGAGTTGGAGTTGTTGTGAAATGTGAGGGCAAATATCAGGTTAGTTGTTTTTCATGTCAACTTGACATGGGAATCTAATTTTCATCCCAAATTGTTTTGGAATAAATCAGATATTTTTCAAATTTCCAAACTGTTTGTCAAGAATTTTTGTCATCATCAATTTCCCAACTATAATTTTATCTACCAAACCAAACTAAACCAAACTTGGAAGGATATTACAAGTGTATATCTCAGGGTTGATAAAAGATTCTGAATTTTTCGATAACAGGCCTTTGGTAGAGAGTAATGACACACAAACCAAACATTGATGCCTATGTTTTCCTCTACAAATATTTCGTGAGAATGGAATTTTTTCAGAGCAAATTTTCTCTGTCTCCAGGTTTCACACAAGGAAAATCACATTATATTTCATAGACAGCATGATGTTGAACAACCATATGAAGTGTAAATGAAAACACCATAAGGTTTTTCAATGATCTTGTCCTCAAAGGGTATGAAGCCTGAAGTCATAATTCATAGTTTTCTTTTCATGCAAACTGTGATTTTTTTGAGAAGTCATGATTTCCTCTTGACTAGTGGTGTGATCAGATGCCATTTGAGGCCAGCCATGTGCAGTCATACATATATACATGTTCCAATGGCAGAGGCCCTGAAATGACAGGCATGCAGATTGAGAGATTACTGTTTAAAAAAAAAACGAAAGAAGAAGAAGAAGAAAGAATTTTCAGGTCAAATCATAAACACTAAAAAATTATATTATTTTACAAATTGAAATGAATTATGTATAATTTGCCTTGGGAAGACACAAATTTCTGAAGGTTGTAATGCCTGTTATTGAGATTTTTTTAGTATTGAATAAGAATTTTTGATCAGGTTGCTGAATACAGTGAGATATCAAAAGAAATTGCAGAGATGAAAGACCCAGTCAACAATGATAGGCTCTTATTTCGAGATGGAAACATTTGCAATCATTTCTTCACTGTGGACTTCTTGGAGAAAATTGTAACGTAAGTGGTAGTATGAGTGGAGTTCAACTGAAGGTACCACACTCACAAAAATGTACTATGCCCTCTAATAGCTGCATTAATGCATAAATCCTTTAAGAGATTTGTAATTGAAAATTGAATCTTCATTCTTCATAACAATTTATTTGCCTGCTTGTGCACTTTGTAATTTAGAAGTGTCTCATGATGTTGTTGTTGTCATTTTTTTTTTGCCACTTCTGTAGAATGAGATGAACGTTATCTGGTCAATGTTTCCATTTGTTCTAAATGTTCAACCCAATTTAAGAAATTTTGTTACTAGGGTTGTCGCATCATCATTTCTTGTAATGATTGAGTCAAATAATGAATCATTGCTTTAGACTGAGTTAATGATGCAAGTCATGAAATTCCGAAAAATGCAGTGGAAAGAAGGTTATTATCTTATGATAAATGAAAACCATTAAAAAAAAAATCAGTTTATGAGGGCTGTATGCCATGGGGTGAGTGGGATGGGAAAATTTGTTACTCGTGGTCATAACACAGTGCTGCAACATAGAGCCAAATATTTTACAGTCCAACCTTCCTATGGTTGATAACTTTGCATGTGATGTAAAGTCCCTTTTTTGGTTTTTCACATTTTTACCTCAGGGAGCATGAACCATCACTCAAGTTTCACATTGCTAAGAAGAAGATCCCATTTGTTGATGAAAATGGAAAAAGGTTAGAAAGATTTTTCACTTACCTGGTCAGTTTTGTTACCAACAATTATGGCATTTTTCCGAATACAGAACAAATTTCATGGTGTTCTGTTGAGTTCATTAATAGAATGTTGCAACTAAATAAAAGTGAATGTTGATATCTGTCCTTTGAAAGAAGAGAATATTTTGAAGTAAATTATCAGAAGTATCATGATTAATTTTTGAATTTCAGCTTGAGATATGAGCACATACATGAGTAGCTTGAAGACAAAATGGGTTATTTTAAGATGAGCTTCATTTTATTAAATTCTGTATTGTCATTTTCAGGAATAAACCAGTGGAACCAAATGGAATTAAACTGGAGAAGTTTGTCTTTGATGTCTTTGAGTTCACAGAGTAAGATTTCCTTCAAATTACAATATTATTACCATCGTAAATTGGTAAAGGAAAAAAAAATTTATAAATCATGTTTTAATTTTTGTTGAACTGCTGTGTGTAGATTCCTTGTGGAACAATCATCATTGATGGTAATTCATTTCAGATGCACAGTCAAACTACAAGAATTGCAACATTTTTGATAGAGCTCTTGTCCAGTAGATTAATACTAATACCTTGAAGATCTTGAAGTGAATGGGGTAATAATTTGTTATTAGATAGCTATTAAATATCACTGTTGAACCAATAGTAGTTATTAACTGATGTGCAATTGTCTTATTCATGGCATTTTCATCTTTTGATTTATTACAATTATAGGAAACTTGCTCTTCTGGAAGTTGCTAGAGAAGATGAATTTTCGCCTCTGAAAAATGCCAAGGGCTCACCCAAGGAGAGTCCAGAAACAGCACTCAGGGACTTGTCAAATTTGCATCTTAGATATCTAACCAAAGCTGGTGCCAAGTTCAAAGACACCAATGGGTAAGTCCCTGAGAGCTCTTTTGTAAACAGTTGTAAAATGTTCAGCCTGTA